TTCTACGCTACCAGACCTTAAAAGCCTGCAGAAGCCGGGGAAAGCTCCTCACTGCCGGGAGAGCAAAGGGGTGTGAGGATTTGGAGTGCCTCTTTCCCCCCCTCCAAGCTGTCTTTTTACCCTCTTCCTAACTTGAAAAAAAAAAAAAAATCTTCGCAGCATCTAACCCAATCACTCGCATCCTGCTTACTTATTCATACAATCAGGGTCAGGATCCGGGCCACAGCCTCCTCTCTGACTTCGTTTGATAGCCTTATACAAACAAACAGACACGAGCGCGCTGACATTTCCATTTCTATTTTACTAAAGATAAAAAAAAAAAAAAAAAAAAAAAAAAAATGTTTTTCTCATCTGCCCTCCGTGAACAGCAATTAATAGATGAGATACGTGTCGATGCACAGCGCCAGACCGGGGGTGGCGCGAGGGATCGTGACAACTTCACTGCAAATCTCCCCATCCTGTCCCCACCCCGCCCCCAGATAAATAGGCAGTGTGTTTCTTTGCCTGACTGCTGTGTAACCTTCCTACCGCCCAGAGTGGAAGAAAAGTATCTGGCCCCCGTCTGTTTAGGTAAGAAAACAGAGTTCTGTTCAAAGTCAGTCTCCCAACCAACAAAGTTTTACCAAGAACTGGAAAAATTAATTAAAAAAAAAAAAAAATCGAGTTCCAGATCGCACCAGCGGGAAACTCTAAGCCCTAGCTGGCTGATGGGCTGGCGCGAGGGCTCACGTGGGCGCAGGAAGGGAAGTTGGAAGTAATAATCACCATGCACATTTTCTGACAGACCTGGCGCTCATGCCCAGCGCCTCCTAGTACCCTTTGGCTTCACGGCTTCACTTGTTTGACTTCCTCCCTAGAACAGGGTGTAAGAGCCGGCAGCTGGATTGGAGACTTAAACCACACATCAGCCTAGCAGACTCTAGACAAACACAGGTTGCGGGAAATTGGGGGGCGGGGGGCGGGAGTCAGAGGAAATCTCTGCAAAAACCCCTGGTGTGAGCAATTCGGAGGTTTCCCCACATCTGTAAGTAGTTTCCAAAATAGGTGAGACGACTTTCCCCCACCCCCAAGCTTCCGGGGGCCTGGCTAGTTGAGCTTTCCTTTTCTAACAGGATCCTTTACTGTCATTTTAGCAGGGACTTAACAGTCTTCCGTGGTCCTTGTATCTTTAGTTGAGGAACTGCCCCTCTTCCAAGTTGCCATTTAGGCAAAAGTAAGGCGCCAGTCACCCCCCCCAACCCCCACCCCTCCGGATAGGGAGAGACAGCCTTTGGTTTGGAGATGTGACTAGTTGTATATGCTTGCAGCAAGCAGATAATCTTGATTTTCTTCTTGAAGCAAAAGGATAGGAGGATCCAGAGGTACGGGAGGTGATTGCTTATCCCTTGGGAAAGTTGGAGTTTCTCGAAGACCACTACAGTGATGGCCTCTTTTCTTAAACACTATCTAACCCCTTCATACAGAACAAACCACAGATTTAAAAAAAAAAAAAAAATGCCCTATTAAGGAGGTAAAGACACTGCTTTTGAAATGTTTTGCTGAGTCATGCTCAATATTTTTTAACCCAAGCAGAAAGACTTTTTGTATAATTAGTGCTGGTGTTGCTCCTACGGGGCTAAGCAAAAGTGCATCCTATATATCCCATCGAGAACCAGAGACGCCAATTTTCTTTAGAAGACCCTTGCCTTTGAACCACTGACTGTGTCCGAATTTCCTGCCCTGGACCTAGAAACATTTATCACAGATTGGTTTTTCAGAGTCTGTACCTAGAGTGCACATCCTTGGCAAGAATGAACATGTTTCATCATTTATTGGGAGAGAAAATGGTACCATATGGAGACATCTGCCTTATTATTAATAGACAGCGATGTCTGTTAGATCTTCCTTACAGATCTGTCACTGCTCAGTTTAAAATCTTTATATATTTGGACTAGGGAGGTAACTCAATTGGTAGAGTGCTTGCTTAGCACACACAACCCCCTAGGCCAGAGTCTCATTATCACATAAAACAAACCTAGTGAAGGATCAGTATTTCAAGGTCATCCTGGACTACACAAGAATTTTAAGGCCAGCCTGCAAGACAAGAGACCAGGTTTCAAAAACTGAGATAATATAATTAATAAAAATATAATGTACTATAATCCTGAGAAGTGGTAGTGAACATATTAGAACATCAGATTTTAGTGAGGAAATGTTTATTTATGGTTAAAATGCTTTCAGGGAATATTTGCTTGCATCACTGTATCCTGGGTGTCTGATACCCTGATGAGGTTTATTTATTTAATGTGTGTATGTAGGTAAAATGACATCGTTCAGGAGTTGGTGTGTGTGTGTGTGTGTGTGTGTGTGTGTGTGTGTGTGTGTCTCT